GAAGGATTCTAATAGATTTATTGAAAGACGTAATGAAGTTGAACAAAAACATTTTATGTGTGCACCGAAGGATTAAGATAATATATTCGAGTCCTTGCAACCAAGGATTACCATGATTACTGGATATCAAAACTCCAGGGGATTCTGTATACACTCGAATAAACCATCATAGATGTGTTGGTCGAACCTTTGGTCAAAATTGGGGAGCTGCCAGATTATTTCTTTACAATGACAGCAATATCCTCTAGAACGAGACACAATATACTGGCTTGGTGTAGGCAACGACCTCCTCCTATAACACATACTATTCCTGCTCGGTGTATTCGCCCTTTGCTATTGTCCCAGATTGTACTTAACAGAAAACACTATTTTTTTTGTGGATTAACATGGCATTGTGTGTCTTATCGTAAATCTCTAAACATGATTAAAAACAATGTTAAGGTCGAGGGCAATGTTTATGAACACATAATCAATTTGATTGTAGCGTTAACTTATTTCAAATGATAACCTTGCGTAGATAAAATACCTGTATGGCACACGATGACTTGGTTCTTTGTGAGATCTGCACCGTGTCTGGTAGATTGGCCAATAGATGATATCTGTAGTAGATGAGGTGAAATCGCGTCCAAGATTATTGCACTTATATAGCGACATGCATACGTGCGTGCGTGCGAGCGTGCGTGCGTGCGTGCGTGCGTGCGTGAATGAGTGTGCGTGAGTGTGTGTGTGTGTGTGTGTGTGTGTGTGTGTGTGTGTGTGTGTGTGTCTGCTTGTACTAGTCCGGACTAATGCCGATTTTAAAGAGCTAGCCCACTAAGATACCATGACTCAGCTTAACACGAATCCCCAACTCATTCACAGTTTTTGTTTTTTTATTATTTTAGGCGGGGATAGGGGAGGGGTATTGGTGGTGGTTGAGGGTCAGTATCGATGTTTGTGTTTATGAGAGCAGAGGGTGTGCTGGGTGTACAGTTAGAGAGGTCATGATGGTGATGCATGTGTGCGTACGGCGGGTGGATGGGTGGGTTGTATGGAGATTGATGATTGTAAATTAAGGATGTTTGAAAATAAAGGCAGAGTGGTTGTTGCTGGTGAATTCTTAAAACCACTAACGCTGCCTCCACGGGGAATAATTTAGTGCCACCGTGAGCACAAGCGGAGGTCATCACATGAAACCTTGTTATGGAACAATAACAAGTCATCGCCATAATCCCACATCAGAGGTCAGGAGGTCTGGGTCTGACGTGGAAACAGGACGCTAGGTAAATGCCCGAGCACGCGCCAGACCAAGTGACTCCCGCTATCTGTGACCCTCCAGTAGACTCAGCCATCTGTCACACAACCACTGCTGACTGCACATATCAGGGGGACGGGACAATAGGTATGACCCTCATTACATCCAGTGTCCTCTACCAGTCCACGTAGTTATTGTAATATCCTGCCATGGTGTGTGTAGGAATACATTCAGAGATTTTATATATTGTAGCAATCTGACGAGACTATCAGTTAGTCTATGAAAACGTTTCTTTAAACTAACTTTTTTTTCTTCAAAGGAATCTTTCCTCTTTTGCTGTTTTCATGTGGATTCAAGGAAACTAGACTTGGCACAGTTTGATCTAGACTTGCCCAGGCTTTTAGTACTATATATGGCGCAGGACTACATTCTGACGTTAGCAGCGGGTTAGATTTTAGTATTGGGATACGTTGCCATGCATCAACCAAATCAGCGAGCCAGACCACCCGATCCCGTCAGTTGCCGTGTATGACAAACATGGCTTGTTGAAGACCAATTCTAACCTGAAATCTTCGCGGGTGAAATATTGTCGGGGATGTAGTAAAATAAAAACAGTAAAACCTCAGTCGTGTTACTCATAGTTCGAGATAAACGTAGTGTTAATTTTAAACCAAACAGTTACAACATGTCTGCTTACCGATATATAAAGTCGAGTTTAGGTGGATTCACAGCATTGTATATATTCTGGTTATTCCATTAATTTCGCTACCTTCGTTTAAACTCAGCGAAAATGACCCTCGACGTACGACTGAGTGAACAGCGGTTATTTATATATAGTAGGCTGGACTAAGTCTCGCATGCCGTATAGTTCACCAGTGGTGTGAACTCCATGCTGAATACTTGGAATTATTTCTACAACGCCCTGGTAACCGCCACGCCTTTCAGAAAGTATTAATGGTGGGAAGCAAAAACAGGAAATAGTCCAAGTGCATATTTTATGGTTATCAATAAAAGTAATGAAATGATAACAGACTTAAGTGTATATCGCTGAAAATTGGGTTACGCATAACCCTACGCGCCATGGCTGATCGTTGTGTGTTTGCATCTCTGTGTGTGTGGTTTTTGACGTTTAGTACCACAAATAAAGTTTTAAAATATATTATCAACAAAATAAAAAGTAAAGTCAAAAGGATCTAGACTTGTCAAACCATTCTAGACTTGAGTTGGATCTCTAGAGTCTGGGATACAAACTACTAGAGGGTATATGATAGGCGCGTTAGTTGAGAAATTGAAATGAACGTAAAATTGTTGATATATTTGATATAAAGGTTTATGAAGGGTATATTATACATGTACGCCTTGTCGTGTTTAGTGTTAATGAGTGAGTGAACAGTATTTCAGTTATGTTACAGCGTGTAAACTGGATGTGGGGAAACATCCCGTATCGACGCAGATCTTAGACGTTTACCACTTGGATGAATACACGAACACTGGAGTGGTGCTGACAAACCAAAAAATCAGGGTCAATTTGGGATTCGAACCAAGGATCATAGGTTCCTAGACGACTAAGGGGCGCAATTCTGCACAACGCATTTACAGACCGGACACCCGTTCCCTTACATATTAAGTACAGTATATACAAAAGTCATGTAAGTTGGGTATTAACACAGCGAAAGGCAACGGTAGTCTCACTTGATCTGAAATCTCACCTCACATTACTCGTATCCAGCTACAAGTATAATATATGCCTTGAGAAAATGAGCTTTTTCGTTTCTGTTGTAACAGATTAAATGCTCTACTGGCTAGAAGCTAAGGAATTTCACCCGTTTTACCATTTAAATAGCACTGTAACTATGAAATAAAGTGAAACACAATACAGGCAATCTCGTATTTACGTAAAGAAATGATTTTCGCACATCTCTGAGCCTGGTTCCCTGAGGGCTAATAGCCTCCCTCTGCACTTACAAGCCAGATCCCGGCCGCCCATGCTGTGGCGTCAAATAAACACATTATCATATGTTAAAGCTGCTGACTCGCTGACAATCAACGTCGGTACTTGGCAGACAATTACTCAATGTTTAGATGTGATAATTTGTAACTTGTGCCATGTGAACTAGTATTTGATGTGGTGTGCTCATGTGAGTTTGTGTTTATATAACATGTATTAATCGGGTAATGTTAGTGTCTCATAGTCCTTGAACCATATTATTTTCCCTTCAGCTCAGCCCACCACTGGGTTTCTTTCAACTTGAAGTGCACAGTTGAAACTAGACTAACATCTAGTCTCTGAAATCTTATATTACACAATATCCTTCTTGACTCTAAAAAAAATATTTCCTATGCTGATTAAATATATTCCACGGTCATGGTGCAGGACCAAGTTGACACTTGAAAAGATAAATGTAAATGGTTTCATAGACGTTATTTTATTAGGACCAGTGTATCAACAGCTAGTACTTGCTAGATTGTGAGAGACGGGGCAAGCTGGCCTATGGCTACTAAATGTCTCATTAGTTATCTAGTTGTTCACGGCAATTGAACCTTAATCCTCGCCAGTCAACTTTGATGCGTAACTCAATCTGGGAATCAAAATATGCTGACAGATGCAAAATAGTGAACTGCACTAGTTTCCAGACCTGGGAGTCTACCTGGCCGCTGGAGCTATCATCATTCAGGCGTTGGTAAGCTACTTAGACTGGTGCATTAGGAGGTAACGCCAGGGTAACGGCGGTCGAGGGGAGATGTAGAGATTGAAACCACTTGTCACTTGAGATACGTACTCACAACCATCCTTGCACTAGCCGTTCTGGTTAAGTCATCATATTCAAACATGAATGGCGTATGTGTGGTTTGACTTGAAAGAGAAGTGAGTCTTAACAAAGGAGCATTGACGCTTCAGGCGCAGTAGTGTGAAAGATGTGTTAATTGAATCATACATACCGACAAGTATAGGCGGAAAGCCCGAGAACAATTCAAATGGCGTTAAGAATGAACGTTAAACCATTCCAGATGGAAGAGTTATTTCAACATCAGAGGCTGTATGCATACTTTTGCTTGTGTTTTCACATTTGTGGTTTAAATACAAAGTCCCAGGTCACTATATGACATAAACTTGAAACTAGTTACCGTCACTCCATAGACCTAATAAACTGTTGATTCGTGTGTAGGGGTGGCGGGTTCGCAATAGCGTTTACGAAAATCAAACGAACAAAAAAACTTATCTACAGATAATTCTCCTGTAATTATTTGGCCACCGACTATTTGATATTCGGGTGGTGGGGGTGGTGAGAGGGGTTGGGGTTGTAGATTAGTTATCTTTTTTCAAAAAGATATTTTCAAAAAATAAAACTATGAGCCTGTATGTTTAATTTCTGAAAAAACACCTTTGCAACAATGTCATTTTTGTGGCAGACAGATTTTTATCAACATTTTATAGCAAAATACCCCCCCCCCCCCCCCCCCCTCCGAATATCAAATGGTCAGCCCCTTGCATTTTATCGCTGTGCGTGGAAAGGGAACACATTCATTAATGTGTTTCAAATTACTGGTTAAGTAATCTTAAACAGCTTTTGTACAAAACATATATTTATCATTCTGTCCATAAAACAAAAACGTCTAATTATCATGATTGATTGCAAGGAGTCAGCCCTGCCTCTTTAAACATGTGCTTAACACTATACATGTGCTGAGAGGGAAACAAACACGATCCCCTACCTCCGTTTAGTCACACATGCCGATCAACGTAATAATCAAACTCACACATCACCCCGTTAAAAGCATTTATCTTGCAGATAACGTCAGATGTTCAATTCTCACAACCATCTCCGAAGCGACCATGAAGCAGGGGTCTGAAGATAAGAACAGTTTCACATACGGACGTAACTCAATCCCGTTGTCCCAGCTTGCTAGTCAATATTTACCGATGACCTTTGTCACTCTGTTCCTTTGATATGTAATAAGTGTTGACGCTCCTTCACATCGCGATCCGATACACTCAACAAGTAATCCACTGAACGGTTCACCCCGATTAACTCTAGGTCGATCCTTTAAACGTTCTTGTTGCGAACACACGGGCCACAAGTGCTTGTTCTTCCTGTTGGCAGAATATCAGAGGAATGGCATAAATGCTTGTGGGAATAAACAGGCACTTCAGTTTGACATGATAATGTTATAACAAATGGAAAGTCTGCAATGTCGAGTTTTCATTGTACGTTAACAGTCCTGGTCTATTGGCAATAAGTCAAGGTTGGATGAAACAAACACTCGCTGACTATCACATATACACATTTCCACTGTTGTTCAATGATATGAGACAGCGAATGATGACGACTCGATTAAACTTCCTCCTTTTCGTCTAAAAACCAGCTTAGAATGCGGCCGTTAACTCGAAGAGTCTCGTTAACACCTTGACGCACTATAGTCCTGGATACAAAAGGAAACTTGTCCATCAGAAGCGAACATGGCACTGATTTCCTAAATAATGACGGAACTGAATTTTCTCGTCTATGGTCATAAATATTAGATTCACACGTATCTGGATTGTAGTTTTGGTATAAAAAAGATTCTATATCCCGCGGTGCAGGTATTGTCATATCTGCGAATGGGCGCATTTTCAAGGGGAATATGATGTCTTTGTCATACACGAATGTGTCTGAATAAACAGGATCTCCATCCCAAATATGAGTGGAATTTTCCTCGAAAAAACTTATATCCAGAAATGGCCAGTCCCAGGTGTAGCCCCTGATGGGCCTGGACAACACGGAATAGAATTTCCATCTTGTCTTTTGTTTCACGTCCAGAAAATAATGTGGTTTTAGTTGGCTCAGAAGTTTATATACCAGCTGCCTCTCACGCCTTGAAACAATGAAATCTGCGTCATCATCCCAAGGTATGACGTCATGGTGACGATAAGAACCAAGAAGCGTTCCTCCGTACATGAAATAGGTAATATCGTTGTTATACATCACACTAACGAAGCGATGGATGATGGAGGAAAGAAGTCGAGATTCCTTCAAGGTCACCGTTGGTCGAAATGCCTGTAACAGCCTTAATATTTTCTCTCTTTTAAGCAGTAAGTTTCTGTTACCATGAAAACGTTTTGTATCATTAACAAGAGGTATATGTAAGGAATGCGAGAACATTGGAATCTGTCCTGAGGAATGTGGAATGACGTATGGCCCTTCCTGGTGAGCATGTGCATTCTTTTTAGAAGAATGCTCTGGCAGATGCAAGTTAGTTGATGATGCCTTCTCGATCAATTGAATAGAGTTTGCTCTCAGCAGCCATCCTGAATACAAACACACAAAATTGGTGACCGCCACAATAAGAAAATATGTGACAGTCTTCGTCCACCTCAGAGTCCGCATGGCGGATGGTGTGGTCGCTGACACTAGAGGTATGTATGTACACGCAACACTAACTTACTACAGAGGTACTCCACAGGTGTAGACGTACGTTACGGGACAGCCCAGCAGGGGTGCGTCAATTCATCGCCGTCATGACGAGCACAATAATATCCAGTGTGCACATGATAAAGCCTACGATTAATGTCCATCATCTTCCTCCTGCTTCGCGTTCATCGAGCAGGCAGGCACATCTTCCTCTTCTTTCACTTCTCCACTTCAGAATATTCCGCATCTCTATTCATCATATCGGAACATTTTTTTATGTCTGGGAAGCAACTGTCCTCAAACAGAGTAATCCGATTCCATGACATCAAGTTGCGTTTTAAAACAGCATGTCATCTATAAACTACCGTATATAACAGCAGTCATGCTGTAACATCGCTGATAAAACATTAGAGCTGGACATTTTCTAATCTGTCTTCGTGTAACGCAGCATAGGGCAGATCGTATCGGTGTTCATACACTACGACACAACTGATCGCTTACACACGTGCAGACTTCCTCCCGCCCGCCGCTTCCTATCGTCTGCTGTTGTCGGCTGTTTCTGCCACAAGCAGACGACTCTCCCGCCTCGCGCTGGCAGCGGTCACGTGGGGTCCTGCGGTGAGAACATGCACTCGCAAGGGAGATCAGAGGTCACTCAAGGATTGCTGACGAGGAAATAAGATAATTGAGTGATTATTTTCTCAGCATTTGATTGGAGATTTACTATAATTGTGTACAAAGGATCACATTTCGTGATAAAGTTCAGAGGATATTCAGTGTAACACCCATAGTCGTCTCTCCTTCCTTCCATTTCAACGCCGAATTCCCGCATTTCCTGTTTTCTCTCCAAACTTTGAGTTTGACAGTCAAATATTGTTGTTTAAGTTGCATGTTAAAGCGTATTCTCTCCACACTATCAGAAAACAACAGATCGCACGGAGAGACAGAATCGGAGACAGGTAGTCTTCCTATTACAAGGTGGTACATCACTTGCCATGTGTCTAGGAGGGCTATATTTAGTGTCCCATTACCAGTGTGGCAGTTCATCAGTGACAACTCTCTACAGTTACATCCACCCCCCTCCCATCCCTACCCACCCGTAGGAGGTGGGTGAGGTGAAATGGGATTTAACGTCGCGTCAAAGATTATTGCACTTATTATGCACGTGTGTGTGTGTGTGTGTGTGTGTGTGTGTGTGTGTGTGTGTTTGTGTGTGGCTGCTTGTACTAGTCCGTACTGATGCCGATTTGTAGTGCTAGCCAACTGAGATACCATGCCGCAGTTTAACATGAATGCCCCACTCAGACACAGTAAACTGACTCCGAGACGACCAGTCCTTGTGAATGCACGGTATGTTATTTACAACTCTTCAACTCTGCTTCAAACTCAATAATGATAATAACAACAACAACAACAACAACAACAACAACAACAATAACAACAATACACACATAATTCCAGAAACATGACGCAGGACTAGGTGAACCCCCTTGTGGGTGTCCTGCACCGTGTTATAGCTACGTAAAGCGGCGTAAACCTCAACTCACTCACGCACATCAACCAACCGACAGCAGATTGGCGATAGAAGTACTAATATATTTATACGTAACTGACCGACCTTTGGAAAGTCAATTATAAAACATTGCGTTCCCTTTAGTGATTTAGATTATATTGACACTGATGACAAATGTGTAAATTTTATATGAAACTTTACACGAAAAGAATCTTATGTAAATTCGATACCACTGACATACCTCTCATGATGCCACCCTCTCAGTTAACGCCAATATATCAGCAATTTAATCGAATACCCATAAACATGTCTATTTAGAAATATAGTATCTTCCTATAGGGTAAAGATAATTTGCCTCTGAACAATCATTAACATACATCGGCCGAATATCAGTGAGTGCTTAAGACCTACATAACCCCAACCCCTCAGCATGATCATACGCCCGTATACACTGCATTGTATAGGGCCGGGTCAGTTGAATAAAAGTTGCTGGCCTAACACAGAACACAGAACGACGTATCGCATAATTATGTATGATCGACAACCTATATCTGAATGAGGCCAACAGTTATATTCTACCTGTACCGAGGTAGCTAAACTACACACATAGGCAAATACTAACACTAATAGTACATATAAGACAGAAAATAAATAAATAAATAAATAAATAAATAAATAAATAAATAAATAAATAAATAAATAAATAAATGCGGTGATAGACATACTCATATCCTCTCACCCCTTCGCGCACCCAAAGACAAATTAGTCAGCCCTATAATACGTAAAATGACGTCCTCGTCAATCAATTACTTCAAATTGTAACAATCCCCATTCATTACACACAAAGCGAGCCTTATGTCCCCAGTGTTCCACTGCTGCTGCATTGTGTGTAATCATGGATGATTGTTGAACAGGCCAACCCACCACCGTCAGCTACTGTAACACAATAGGACAGTCACCAGCAGATTACTGGTCATGGGGACAGGGGACCCCCTTTCCTGGTAGAGCTGCTGGGGTGTCCGGGTTAAGATGAGTCAAACTGATGAATAGAAACAATCGTTTATCCCGGTTGACTTCCTATTGCGTTAAACTGACACATAGGATGAGGCACACTGTGTTCTCTCTCAATGGACTATGTTTATTTCGTATGGTTTGTCTGAGAGACAGTGATGCACGAACATTTTATTTCTTAGACTGAAGTATCATCTTTGCTTTAACCATTTAACGTTGTCTAAGTTCATTTCCATCCCGATGTTTCACGTATGACAGATTAACTATAGTAATATGAAAGAGTCAGGTGTTTTTTTAACTTTTTTTGAGTAGTATATATGATGTGATTGGAAGTGAAATAAAATAACCAAGTTTATACACCAATAATGATTTTAATTTGTCCTGTGCTTACAAACACCTCTGTTCTGTGCTAACGCCATCTTGCGCCACACATGTAGATATTTAACGACATCAAGATAAGCCTCTGTCTGAGGTCCATCACAGCCGTAGGATGAATAGTATCTGCATCACCTATATCAGGTACAGTTATCACACGGGGGCAGCTGCGACACCACACACATGCACACACAATAAACACACATCACATGCACACATACGGACCACACACATACACACAGGTACTACACACTCACTACACACACATGCACCACAGACACGCTATATACAAACACACACACCTTATACACACATACTACACACACATTAAACACATACACCACACACTTCACACGCTGTACACAACACACGCGGACACAACACACACACACATACTATATACATCACATAGACACACTACACACAAACCCACCTCAAACGCGCAGCCACGACACACATACACACATACACCACACACCCACACACACATTACACCCCCCCCCCCCCCCCCCCACACACACACACACACACACACACACACACTACACACAAACACACACACATTACACACACACACACATTACACACGCAGACACACACGCACGCACGAACGCACGCGTGCACGTGCGCACAATCATATAATAGCCTTTTGGTATTTCATGACGGTGTAATATTAATGACATTTTCAGTTGAATGGTGTGTGAAACATAATAATACACCGTCTAATCTAGTTACATGTAATGGTCGATACTTGCTCTCTTCATAATAAAACCACACATGAGTAAGTTTGTACTGTGAGTCCAAGTGTTTGTCTTCTACTGCTGTGTTTACTTGTGTTAAGCACGACTGAAACTTACACTGCAGACATTCATGATGTCTTCCATACAGGGTAACGAAACAATGTCACACGGTAGAAACCATTCAGAATAACCTGAACATCAGCTAATATGTGAGAAACTCGCAGTTACATTTACCAACGAATTGTGTCTAGCATTTGTTTCTCACGAAGTGGACCTTTGAATGTATACCTTACTGTAACCATCGTGCAATGTCAATTTTCTGACTATTGTCTCGTTATCATGAGATCTACATTACAGCTGGTCGTGATTGAACTTTAAGAAAGATGTTATTAAATATGCATGTGTTTGTGACGAGTGCCACCGGTGGGGCAGGACACACTCACGTTTTCGCAACCACCTGGTATTATCACTATTTGATAGTGATTCATAAACACATGCTCATGTTATAGTGGAAATCGTACAATGGACTCTGCGTTCGGCAAAGAATACTAAGGACTATGGTAAGGGTTCTCTCACATTTAATATTAACGGTAAACGTGCTTCACACACACACACATCTGGGCCATATCTAGGTTAAACCGGTTCGGGTAATTGTCAATGATATAGCGTCCAGTTACCTGTAACGACTGTGAAGCGTTCCTCAGTGGTCATTAGGGTAACCGATACCATATAATTGTAGTTTTTGTAGAATTTGAGCAAGTTGAATAATACGCAATCCATCAAAAGAACATAGATGCGGATAGAGTCTTTTTATCTAAATGAACAAGGCAAATAATCCAGTGACTGACATCATGAGCATCGATCCACGCAAGTAGGATACGATGACATGCATCAACCAAGAAAGCGAGCCTGTCCACCCGATCACGTTAGTCGCCTCTTACGACAAGCATAGTCGCCTGTTACGGCAAGTTTGGGTTGCTGAAGGCCCATTCTACCCCGGATCTTCAGTGGAGTAGTTACATAATAATGAAGCATTAAACACTGCTGGAGAGACATTGCAGTCTAAATGTAGGCTTAACCATCTTGATCTAACTCGCTTCTAGAGATGTTAAGATACCCTACACATATTGGACGTACACACAGCAATAATGCAGTGTCACTTCTTTCTCAACAGTCAAATACATCAAAGTTTAAGTGCTTCAAATCCATGCCGCTATTTAACATAAATCATCACCATTTCAGGCAGATAACAAATTCTCTTCTTCAAAACATAAAGTAATTACAGGCTGAAGTAAAGTCTGCCTCCACCAATTGTGCTCTTCCACATTCCTAAACGAGCTGACACCCTGCTATAGTAACCATTAACAATCAAATACGGATTTATGTGATTGCGGCCATTTCTACGTTAAATAGCATTATTACAGCCGTCCACACCTAAGTAGTAATCCCGCAGCTGGGCGTTACGACGCTGGGCGTCCTGCTCACAGAAGCGGTCAAATGAAGCTGTAGGTCAGGACTGGTCAAGTAGGCCAGATTATGACTCTTCTGACACCTCTGTTCACTGCCGTGGCGATATAAACCACTGTAAGAAGATTGGCTTGTAATAAAGCGTGCTGTGATAATGACTCGGTCGAATAAAACGTGAAAAGAAATGAAGCTTTGTCATATTATTATTTCACTCTCCTGTTTTCTGCTACCGCATTGAATGTTGCTACTGAAATGTGTGCCTTCAAATTCGGGAAGGAATTCTTTAAGCAGGTACATTGTTTTAGACATACGCCATATTCCCGCTAATAACTCACTGGCAGCCACAGAACTGAACAGGCAAATGCGATGCAAGGTATGCTGATTTCAGGGTTTCTACCGAAATGACTTATGACGGTTTGCTCTGCACTTTGCATGCCGTTCAGATAAACATATGTTCTATGCCTATT